TTTTTTTTTTTTTAAGGAAATATTATCATTTTCTCATAAAAATGCTAAAAATAGCACATAGCAGCCAGACCCAAGTGAATGAAATAAACTACAGTTAATGGCATTTATGATGCTCAGAGTTTGTATTGAGAGAAGGGTTAACAACAGCAACAACAAATTGTAAAGGTCAAAATGCCAACAAAGAGAAATTTTAAAAGATGACACAAAGAGCATTATTACAGCATTTTGAGGGAAGAAGTGATTGGAAACCTAGAATTAAGTCTTCTACAACTGAGGACTAACCTAGCCCCTCAAGTTTCCTGGTAGCAAACACAAAGATAAATGAATGAACCCAGGCAAGGCAGCATGATAAACACATAGAATTTGGTCAAAATACCTAAAGACTGAATTTGCACCCGGGCATTCAAAATGGTATTTGAGGCAACCTCTATCACACTAAGTTTACCATGTATAAATCAACGAAAATAACACTGGTATGTTATAATGCGAAAGAAAAACTTCAAAGGGCTTTGTGACCATTCATACATAGTTCAAATAAAACAAAATTACACTGCTTGGGATTGTGAATGCCTGTCAAAGATGATTATCATGACAGACAGGTCGGGATGTTAATTAGCTCTAAGGAGAAAGGATTAGGCAATTAAAAGAGAAGTGATAACAATGTTCAGTTTACATAGTAATACAGTGATAGTTATATATACAGTGACAGTTTATAAGTATTCAAGTAGACATAAATTTAATGTAGTACTAAAAACCTCAACCAGCACTGCAAACTATACAGTACCACACCAATGAGAAACTGTAATCATAACATTTGTTATAAGATATAAAAAAGAATAAAGAAAAAAAGTCTTGATCTCAAATTTTAAAAGAAATTCATAGCAAAGATCTTTATGCCATAAATAGCAATGTCTTCAACTACAAGTTTAAAAACAGTAGAAAAATTCTAATGTATTTCTCATTTTAATGGCAAGCAATGTGTGTAATAGTAAATTGGTGAGTACATTTGTACAGAGACACCAACAAATAAGTGTAGGTTATTGCTTTATAGCAACCTAGAGTCCCCTGGGAAGAGGGAACCTCAACTGAAGAATTACCTCAATCAGACTGGTCTGTAGCCATGTCTATGAGAGACTGTCTTGATTGATGAATGATACGAGAGGGCACAGCCCATTGTAGGCAGCATCATCCCTAGGTAGGTGGGCCTGGGTTGTATAAGAAAGGTAGCTGAGCATCAGCCAGTGAGAAAACCAGAGAGCAGCATTCCTCCATGAGTTCTGCTTTGAGTTCCTACTTAAGTTCCTGCCCTGACTTCCCATGGTCTGTGACCTGGTAGTATAAAATGAAATAAATTCTTTTCTCCTAAATTGTTTTTGGTCATGGTATTTATCACGGCAACAGAAAAGTAAACTAGAACAACTTGGATGAAAAGTTGTATTTAAAATTCCTTAAGAGAAGATTCTCTAAAACTATTTCATTTATGCTTTTCACAAACAAAATCAATTTAAAGTTGAACTTCCTGAATACCTAAAGTGACAAAACAAAGAGCAATCTGTTTTAACTACCAAATGATCATATGTCAAAGTAGTCTAGAAAAGAAAGAACAACATCTAGAATGGTGACTATTTCTCAGAATACCTAAAAATCTGCTCTTATCTTTGAGACTTCAATCTGGAAAGGAAGATTTCAGTCTTTGGGGATAACTAGAAACACCATCTATAGGCCAAACAAAACCTTCACTTCCAAAACAACTAAGTGCTTCCTTAGTATCTAATCTTTGCAAAAATTGTCTAAAACAATTATTGTCATTACTGTCCTATTTCACATGTAAAAAAGTAGGAAAGTAATCCTCCAAATACCACAACTAATCAATATCCCTTTGTATTGATGGACTACAGACACCAAACATCACTGCAGACCAGTGGAGCTTCACTATCTATTACTGTTGTTATTCCTTAAGTAACAGCAAATGTTTACTAAATAAATGCTAGTGTTTTGAACTCATTTCATCCCAACTTTATGAAGTAATTATCTCTAATAAGAAAAAAAGCAAAAATCTTTTATATAGAGAAATGCTTTCTAGATACAATTAATAAAGTTTAGTGCTACAACATCCTCATTAATAAGCTAAAAGCAAACTGCTTCTTAACCTTGAAGAGTTGTTATTGCTTTGATTGGAGTGTTTGTGGCCATGTCAAAATACATGCTTTGAGACTAAATCACCACTGTGATAGTATTAAGAAGTAAGAGCATTGGAGGCAGGGGAGGGAGTGTGGTTAAGTCACAAGGGTGAAAGCCTTATGACTGGGATTAGTGTCCTTGTAAAGGAGGCCCTAGACCAAGTGAGATCACAGCAAGAAGGTATCATGGTATGAATAAACAAGTGGACACAGAGCCACGGTCCTGAACTTCACAGCCTCCAGAATTATGAGAAAGAGATTACTATTGCTCATAAGATACACAGTAATATGGTATTTTGATGAAGTAGTCTGCAGAGACAAAGTTACTTTCTCAAGGAAACCATTATCATGAGTGGAAAAGAATTCTGACATCCCAATCACTATGATTGATGGGCACATGTGAAATTGCCAAAAATAAATCAGTTAAGTACATTTAAACAGGAGAAAGCATGATTTGATTTCCTTTTATACTAGAATGTCAGCTAATGAAATACAGCTGTCATCTACTGATTCCAGATATGGCATAATAATCCACACTTGGAACAAACATTAACAGCTTGGGCTCTAAACTCAGATCACAGACACTGACCCAGAGATGAATCCCATCCACAGATTAAAAGCTGCTGAAGGAACAAATGGAAGAGCAGAAAAATGGCAGCACACACCTGCAAATCCCAGCACTCAGAAGGAGAAAGCAGGAAGATCAGGGACTCAAGGGCAGCCTGGGCTACAATGAGACTCAAAGAAAGGAAGGGAGAAAAAAAGAAGGGAAGAAAGGCAGAAAAAAAGAGGGCCTCGAGAATGTAAATTGCTCTCAACAATTTTCTCAGTAAAGAACAAAATACAACAGCAATTAATACTATAAAATAGTTCCTGAAACTTGGCTGTTCTACATGTAAGAGATATGATGAAGTGGCAGACCTCCTATTCAAGAAAATGGTATAAACAGTCAAGTCTAATGAGACAGAGAAAATCATGTATTAGGTTTATTATAATCAAATGATATGTGAGCAATATGATTAAAAGTGTATAACCTCCATAGTTTTTTATTGTGCACTCCTGTTGGAAGGGTGTGTGCATACTTCACCTTACATACATACTTGTTAAGCACCTATTTACATAGGTATACCATACAGAGCACCAAAACATTAGAAACTTTACACAGAAACATGAATTTTGAAAGGGTCAACAACAAAAATACATAAACATTCTAAATGTAGAGCCTAAGCTACAGACTTTGGAGAATACCAAATAAGATTACTGCTTTCTGAAATCTGGATCCTCATTCCTCATGAAAAATACCTTCAAGGCAAATTCTGAAAAGGACAAACTTGCCATTGACCCCTTTCCATTTTCTCTAGTCAACCTCCACATTCCTAGTCATCCTTTCCCTGAGCCTCCTTTTAACCTAAGCCTTCTACAACACTCAAATCACCAGAGCCTATTCACTTTCTACCCTGTACTTTGTGGTCCTAAGTTACCTCTCAATCTCCCCATGAACTTCTCTTCCTGTGCTAATAATTCAAAAGTTCAAGTGTGCTAACTTGCTAGTCTCATAGAAATGGCTTTCCTGTCATTCAGCACACTATTCAGGATCTGGATCTCCATTTCTCATATCCCCATATCTCTGAGCTGTAAAGTTGTATGTTCAATTACCTACTAGATACCTGTAAGTTTAAGTACCATTTATTTTTTTAACTTTTTAAAAATTTTATTTATTATTTTTTATTTTACTTGTATGCATGTATTGCCTGCATGTCAGTAAGTGCACCTGTGTCATGCCATGCCCTCAGAGGTCAGAAGAGGCTGTCAAATCCCCTGGGACTGGAGTTATGGACAGTTGTTAGCTGCCATGTGGGTGTTGGGATTCGAACCTGGGCCTTCTGCAAGAACAACCAGTGTTCTTAACTGCTAAGCCATATCTCCAGCCCCTATTTATTATTTTAAGTGTATGAAGTGTTTTGCTTGTATGTATGTAAGTGCATCTGTGTATGCAATGCCCACAGAGGCCAGAAAAAAGCATTAGATTCCTAGAACTTTAGTTACGGATGGCTGTTAGTTGTCATGTGTGTGCTGAGAACTGAACCTGGGGTCCTCCACAAGAGCAGCCAGTGCTCTTAACCACTGAGCCATGACTCCAGCCCCAGTATGTCTAACTTTTGATCTACCTCCCTTTCTTTCTTCTCTTCAAACCTTTTCTTCAGCTTGTATCCTTACCTCACTCAATGACACCATCATGTGCCACTGATGCTCCAGTCAGAAATGGAAGCACATGCTTCCAGAAGCACCTCTGTAATTGACCATTATTAAATCCTATATATTTCATCTTAAAAATCTCTCAAAACTATAGTATTCTTTCATTCAGTGTCCCAATTTTAGCAGATACCTCCTGCATTTTATTCACAAATTAAGCTGGGTCCTTAAGCCTTCTCCTTACCCAATCACAACAAAATTCACTTGCCTGGAGCCAGTAGAGCAGGGTTATAAGAAAATCTTATCCTCTTAAACTCATAAGGGGCTTCAGAATAAAGACCAAACTTCAGTGGTCTCTCAAGAAGCTCACCCCCCCAACCCCATATACATTTCTTTCCCTCTCTCATTCCATTTCACTCATGCCACTCAATCTGCAAGTCCTTAAACACTATACTTTAATTAGACTTTTTAAAAAAAAAATTTTTGGTCTTTTTGAGAGAGTCTCCCTGCAGCCCCAGCTGGCCTGGAACTCACTATGTAGACCAGGCTGGTCTCGAACTCACAGAGATCTGCCTGCCTCTGCCTCCCAAGTGCTGGGACTAAAGGCATATGCCACCACACCTGTCTAACTAGACATTTTATTCACAAGCTGCTCTCTCTACTTGAAATGCCTCCTAATTCTTAGCTCCAACACCTATTCAGAATATAAGGTGCATCAAAAGGTTATAGCTTCCATGTCAATAGCAGCAGTTACACTAGTCACAGCATAAATACATTGAATTCTATACTGCTGTTTAGTTACCTGTTCTCCTCCACTAGACTGTAAGCTTCATGAGGACAGAGATAGATTTTGTCTTTGTGCTCCTCATGTCTAGCATGTCATTTATTAAGAAACAGGCGCACAAAAAAATGAAAGAAGGCCTCAAACAAATTAAAGCAATGTAACAAAAGAAAAAAAACTGTAGAATCAAAGAAAATTAAACTCTCAAATGTATGTACATAAGACTTGAAAAATACATAGTGGTAGTAACATGCACCTTTATCATTTCCACTCAGAATATACCTAAACAGCTATCATTCATGATTCTCAATTCATGATCTCATACAATATACATTTTTCTGTCTGTGTGATAGCTGGAATTGCTTCTAAAATAAAATTTGGCAGTACCTTTCTTCAAGAGCTTATAATAACAAAACCATAGTAAGAAAAAGAATTTTTTTCACCACAGACTTTCTTAATAGATCAAAGAACTCATCCAATTATTTTTAAAGTTCCTATAAGGTAGTAATGAACACAGCAACAAAAAACCTGCTTAATGGCTACATATATTAATAGCCCAATAAATCAGTCATCCTGAAATTAAATACAGATATAGTAAAATAGTAAGAGATTCATGAAATTAATATACTTGATATTTTTCATACTGGAGAATAGTTAAATCAAGAACTACTACTAATGCTTGCAAATCACGGCATTGTGGGAAGCTCACTTATCAATGAATACCACAAATGCAGATACTATACCTCTATTTTGTTTTTCTCAACAGCAGCTTGAAGAGAAGGAGAGGATACCAAAGGCTGAAGAGGAGCATCAGAGGAGGAAATCTGGTATACAGATGGACAGTCAAGAGGGAAAAAAAGGAGAAGGAGATGATCAGAATTGACAGGCACTACAAAGAAACAAGAATGCATTTCTGATAAAAGAAGTTAAAACAATGTTAAGTAAAATACTGTACCAAGAAGCATGCTGTGTTGAAATTTGTAAGTGAATGTTAAAATGAATTTCACTCAGTTGTAAAATTTAAACTGTATTCAGATAAGACAGAACTCTCTTAAGTTATAGTTAAGTTTCTCTGATAGTTCATTTTCAGTCAAAGTTACCATTGAAATACTAGGGCTCTGAAGCATGAAAAAACCCTGTGCCAAGTAGGACAGTAAAAATGAATTTTTGTTTTTACTGATAACTTTTAAGAATGGAAAATAAAAAAGCTGAAAGAGTAAAAGTTAATTAAATTTTTAACTAGTTGTTTAAGAAAACAGAAAAAAAGACTGGGAGAAAAGATTAGGTTAATATAACAAATGAGCAGCAGACAGACTTATTATAAAGCAATTTATATACTTCTTTAAGATCAGCATGCAAAATAAAAAAAACAAAAACAAACAAACAAAAACATTTCCAGTGCTTCACTTGCTGAATTACCCCCAAACATTATGAGACAGTTATATATAAAGCAGAAGCAATTTATACATGGAAATGAGATTCACCTGAAAGCTTTTCACAAATCTTCCTACCCAATTTCTGCACGCATAGTTGATCACTTTAATGGAAGCATTATCTTCCTGCTCTCTTACTGCCAAAATATAACTGAAATGTGTTTACAAAATACATAGTAGATCTTTGGAGTCATAAAACTGACATCTCTCTATTGCTCTATCATAGCAATACTGCCTATGAAGATGTTTGTTAAGGTAGTATTATAGACAGGCCTTTATGTAATGTCAAAATAATAATACAGTAGATGTGGTGAAGTAAAAACCCCTACAATACATGAGGAACTATTAGAAACTGATGGCTGATGGGAAGGGGTAAGTCTCTTTCAAGGGTGCGACACTTCGTAGGTTAACCAGGTTCTAGTGGATGGATCCACACCAAATGACACTTTGCATACAAATTTGACTCTAAAGGCCTTAAATACGTGCGTGCACCTATGTGTGTCTGTGTCTGTTTGTCTGTATCTGTAAAATAGAGTACATGCAATTGAGCAGATGACAGTAAGAAGAATGCAGATGGAGGAGAGGATCTAAATATGATCAAAATATATTGTATGAAATTTACAGAAATTCAACAAAAAAAATTAAAAAATTGTTCAAGACAACAAGTCTTCCTTCAAGGTGCTTATGACAGTAGTTCTTGAATCACAACCCTAGCTGATAAACTTTTGAGTTGTTTTTCCCCCTTGCACAGTGTTGGCTGTTATAATTGTGTAAACTAGCCACTTAATATATTAAAGCAAGTTCCTTATAAGAGAAAATGCACAATACAAGAAAATGTAGGTTTTTCCATTAAGAAAAGGTCAAATTGTACACCAGAGCCTGGCTTAAAGGTAGTTTGTCCCAGGGATCTTTCATTATAAGTTCATGTAAAAAAAAAAAGAGACTAAACATAAAAATCAGTTAATAAGACAATTTGTACCATAAAGCCTCTTTGTCAAAACTCATTAAAAGGATACAAAAGTATAAAAGGGGAAAGGAGTGTTTTGAACATCAAGGATCACTAATCCTTAGAAACTAGAAGATAATTCCTTATAAATGTGCTTATTTTCCTTTTCAGGAGACATAAGATAGAACAAAGGAAAGAGAAAATAAAGAAAATACAAAAGCAAGAAAAACTACCTTCTAAATCTCTCAAAATCATATACTTCTTGCACCTCTACTAACTGCCTTAGAGAGATCGTCATTGTCTCTGTGTTGCTCCTCCTAACTGGTGTCATTGTCTGAAGTCTGATGATCTCCAAATTATTCCTCTATACTGTTATTCTGACATGTAAATTGGATCTGAAATAATTTACACATACTACATAAGGACAAAGTCCAACTCTTTAACTAGGTCACAGCTACCTATTTCTCTACCCTTCCCCGCTCTGGCTACACTCTGCTTAGTCACACACAGCTCTTTCAGGTTTCAGTTCCCTAGTCTGCTTCTTCTGCTTTAGGAGCCTTTCCTCTTTCCCCTAGATTTCTATTAGTCCTATCCTTTCATTTTCATTTGACATTGCTTCTTCTAGAGTCTCTAAGCATTCCTTTAGTCCTCCAGATTGGGTTACCTAGCCCCCTTTGAAACTCCAAAACACTTTCTATAATATTTTCCGATGATAAAAGTTATGAGATCTTGGAAAAATCTGATTATTTATTAGTATTCACTATTCCACTGAAGACCTACATCTTTGGCACCTAACCAATGAACAGGTCTCAGTGAGTATGTCTGAACATGAGAGGAAAAGCAAAAAGAGGAAAGGAGTATCTCAAAAGAAGAACTGAGAGAAGGCTCAATCTCAGCTGTTACCACTGTCCTCCAAAGGTTCACTGGCTTACTAGCTTTTCTGAAATAAATCTGAATTTATTATAAAACTATTCATTCCAATTCCACTTAATTCTCATTTGCATAGAGCAGAAGGCTTTAAAAACCTTAAAATCTTTTGCTGGAAACCCCTCAGCCATCTCTGTAAGTAAGCTCCATAAATTCACTGGTTTTCCAGGAAAACTTTAAACATTGGTTTGACACTAAAAGCTTAAAAGAGGATAAACATTGCTTAGTATCCCTAGAAAAAGAATTCTCACAACAGATGGAAAATTTGTCAATGTTATTATGTCTCATAATTATGAAAAAAAGAAAATGAGAATGTAAAAGATGATTAAGAGATATGGGAAGGGAGATATTTTCCAAAATAGAAAAAATGAGAAGGCCTAAGCAAGTGATGAAGGTCTATACAGGTTTGTTATGATATATAAAGGATGAAACAAAAATAAAATACACATAATCTTAAATTCTCTACGGTCATAGTTTAGTCAACTACTTTAAGGAACTAAATATGTGTCTAGTCAAGGTTTATCTGAGAACGTCTGGGTTTTACCCAAGTTTATCTACATAGCACGTGGTTATTAAAAGTACCAGAATGGTGGAACTAACCTTACTGAATGTTTAACAGCCATACTTTGATGCCTATACTAATCTGGTCAGAGGGACTTAAAGGACAGTTTTTTGCTCCTTGCCTGCCAAGGTCTATTAAGTTCCTTGGGGACTATGGAGCATCTCTCAAAATGTCCTGTAACTGTGGGAAGTCACATGTCCTCTTGTTCAGGGAAGACAGGGAGACCCCACCAGATGGACTTGAACCGGTGTCCAGCCTACAAAGAGGATGATCAACTCAGAGGAAACATTTCATTCTTGCTTCCAAGTGAAGCCAGCCCTGGTCAAGCAGGACCTTTGACTTATCTTCACATATATAGAACTGGTAAAAGAAAGGAACCAGGGGCTCCTTCCAAGCCCATGTGACCCCCGAGGAACAGATCCTCAAATAACCTTAAGTGTAAAAATAAATTGATTTATTTGGGCCAACTGTATGGTCCTAAACACCCAAAAGGAAAGTATAACCAAAGAGTAAAGTTACCAGTATATTTCTTTAAGAGTTCAAGGAATTACAAGTCCCAGACATTAGGCCTAAGTCCATAAAAATGTTATTTAGACAACTATTTCTCATTGATGATTTTGTTTCTAATCACAAAGTGCTGCTCAGATGAAAAGAATTCAAATCTTGGTCTCCAATACTGTAGTGCCCACCTGTAGCTAAGGGAGACAACCCACTATCGTTCTAAAATGATGGCTAAATTTATTTTCTCCCCCTATTTAGAAGCCTTTGAGAGGGAACTGACACTTATTCTAGCCACTCCAACAGCTATCAAAGTGTCTAAAAACAAATCCTGCGTCCATCACTCTAGAGTCCAGCCTTGGCAGACAAAAGGGAAATGAGGAGGAACCCAACAGAGGGATACTTTTGGAAGTTTTTGTCAAGAAATCCCAATGGACTTTCATATGAACATTTGAAATTTGCCCTGTTCTGACTTTTTTCTGGTTCCCTGTCTAGAACTTGTAATGCTAACTATTCTTGCCTTTACTTCTCCTTCACATCTACTATTCACCAATCAAGGACTTTATTTTCACCCTACAGGCAAGAGTTATGCAATCTGGGAGTCTTTTAGATAGACCTATTGAAGGGGTACCCCAATTGCTCATCCTGTGTCCCTGTTCAGCATGGAAGAAGCCAGAGCAGTCTGTTTCCCAATTCCCTATCTGCAACTTGGGTAACCTCTTCAGGAGATGGTGTGATAAGAATAGCAGGTAAGAATTGGCTAGGCAGTTAGGGTAAAAAGACCTAAAGAAAAGTAGCCAGTTTCTTGGCTAAAAGTCAAAATGCCCTTGGGCCTCTTAACAACATACTCCGTTCCAAAGGCCAAAAATGTCAAACGTATTTGGGAGCTTTTGTCTAATCCCTAAAAGATTTTAGGATTACCTTGTCAGATGGGGGGAATGTTAGAGTAGCAAAAAGCCCCATTTACAAAAAAGAAAGAAAGAGTACATGAAGTTTTCAGAAGAAAGTGATGGGGAGATATGGGAGGTGTTGGAAGGGAGTGGGCGTGGATTTGATAAAAATAACATGTGCATGTATTAAATTATCAATAACTTTTTTTAAAGTTAAAAAAAAACTTTTTCTGGAAATGATGCTAGCTAAAATCAGTAGTCATGTAATTCAGTATTTCATTTTTGTTTGTTCTTGTTTTTGTTTAAGACAGGGTCTCACTATGTAGCTCTGGCTGGCCTGGAACTCACTATATAGAACAGGCTAGACTCAAACTCAGAGGTCCACCTGCCTCGGCCTCCTGAGTGCTGGTATTAAAGGTATGTGCCATCACACCTGAAAAATTCAGTATTTCTTGTATTCTATCCTTTTTCATTCCTATTCCTTCTACCTTCTAGAGAACAGGCATAAGGAACCTAGTAAGACGACATTCAGGAGTAAGAGACTTAACATATCTTTTGCCATCAAAGT